GGCTGAAGAGGAGGTGAACGCTGGGAGGGTTTCCATCTGAAAAGAGTCAGCGCAGTGTCTTCAGCAACAAAACCAGGTGGAAATACCAAGTGAGTTGCTGCCTTCCTCGCGTCCCAGTGGCCACCTTGTACTGTTACAATGTCTCTGTGAGATACAAGATAATAAATAAGTAATTTGTGGTAACCTTGTGACTGAGATTTTTTTGATAGAATAGATGAGACTTTCGTTAAAAAAAGCACTTTTTCTCATGCAGTGGGAGGATTAGGAATGACGTCAGATAATCAAAATTGAACTGACGAACAATCGTAGAACAACTCTTCGTAAAGGGTGACGGGAAATGCCGAATTCTTCGATATTAGCATAAATCTACATTTGTTCTATCACAAATGCTGCAATCTGAATGGCTACGCTACTCGCTATTTCTTCCTTGATAGACAATGAGAAAAGTAAGTAAGATGCTTAACATTTTTAGGTTAGGAACAAAATAGAATAAAATCATACACGAGCTTGCCTTGTTGTTAAGTTTCGGACGACTGCCCGACAACTTAGACTACTCGCGAAACCTAAGGAATGTGATTCTTAAAGTCAAGTTTCTTGAGTAAGTATCAGAAGAGCTGAATTTTTTCTTTTATTTTCTTCCCCAGAACCATAGCAAAAAGATAGACAGTGCTATTTCCAATTCAGTTCTTCGCTATTATAATCATTTCTAGCGGGTTCATTGCAGCAAAATACGGAGAATTCTCGACCATTCAGAGAGCACGTCTCCACGATCATCTTTGTAATTATTCGAAGCACGTAGTTTTGTTATTTACTTGAAGATGATGGTTCTGTCCTCAGTTTGAACATCTTCATCTGTGTCTTCTTGCCCCTCAGCTCCAACCTCACTCTCTTCTTCTGAACCAATTTCGATTTCCAATTCTTCTTCTTCTTCACTAACCTTCTCCTCTTCCATCGGTGTAGGAAAAGTCTGTGCGGCTATAAGAGAAGATAGAAAGGTCAAGAGAAGGCAACATGCTATAAGTAAAACTATGGAAACTAAAAAACCAGGCAAGAAGGAAGTCTAGATCTTTGGCAGCATGAACCGTCATAATATTTCTCTTTCAGATGTTCGAGTTCACGAAAATTCAAAATTCTACATAATTTTAGTACCTCTTGGCCTTAATTTGGCTCCTGGATGTCTCCCAGTTTCATTCAGCGCCTGGAAACAAAACACAACAGTTGAAGACAGAAGCTTAGAAACTACATGTATCTGAAATTTTAAGGAGAATTCGTGGACCTGTTTGCCGCGATAAATCATGAATCAAAAAAGTTCAAGTTTACTAATATATCCCGATAAATGTACAAGCTCATATGTTTGTAATATCAGTGTCCAACAATGAGGATTTGTCGCCAGTGGTAACTACATCAAATCAGAACAGAAAACAGAGCGCAACAGAACAAACACATACATGAAATGAGAAGATTAGCCCTTTTCCTCCCAAGAGTGACCAAGACAGAAGTTCTCCTTACAATACCAATGCAATACCAAGCAGACAAGTGGTGAGATTAAAGAAAATATCCAAAAGGAAATTATAAGTTGATCCAAAACCAAATTATCCGAAATAACATCATAAGAATTGTTTGGTAGACAGTAAGGAGAATTACTGATGAGATCTTGGAAGTAAAAGAGTGGGCAAAGTGAAGAGAAAACAGCTGATACAAAAAGCTGCTTGCATAAAAGACAAGGTCGACGTTTACTTTTGTTGATAAATAAGCGTGATCTTACCTGTAATGCATTTTTGTAAAATTTCTCGCTCGTGTAATCTTCAATGGACGATGCCAACTCTATGAGTTTACGAAGAAACTTCTTCATTTCACGGTCCTTCATCTCAGCATGTTTTATCTCCCATATTTCCTCATAAAAGCTCAATGCTTCTTGTCCATACCGCCTGTACATGTTTACTTTTTTGAGCTCCCGGCACAAACTGAGAATTCCCTCGATTGTTCTCTCCCTCTCCAAGCCGATCTTCTCCGTTTCTTCATTACTTTTTCCTTCTTCCCACTGCTTTTGCCACGAATCCAACAATGTCTCCCGAAAATTCTGGATCATTCCTTCTTGTCCTGTCTCTTTGTAAAGTTCTTCTACCTTAATCTTCAATGACGCTTTGTCCAACTCATCCTCTTTGATTCCAAGGAAACCCACTCTCACCAGACACATTTTGTACAAAGCCACCTTGTCCATTTTGTGTTTCCTCACCTTCTCGTTTTCATCAAGCTGAGAAGAGAGCTCCACTGTCTCGTCCAAGAGATTTTCCCTCTCACTCAGCATGACACAGAGAGCATCATTATCAGTTTCCGAATAAAACTTCTCTTGAAACTCTTTCTCGTTGGCATTGCACCTCGCCTCGTAGAACCAAAACTGTTCCTTTTGCACTACGGCTTTGTCTTTCTTGTCATGAGCAAGATCATTCAGAGCATCAACGATGCCTTTGTTAAATATATTGAAAGTGAATTGTTGAGAAGCTTTTTGTTCTTCCCAGAAACGTTGACAAAACTTGAAAGCCTCTTTCCTAAATGACCTCTTCCGTTTTCTTTTGTTTGTCCAGTCACACATATCTTCCACACCTGTGATAATCTTTCGCCACACTTCACTATGGTTTCCTACACCAAGTGACTTTTCCATCTCCCACGCTTCAAGAAACAGCTTCAAAGCTTCTTTTGGATGTTCAAGATTTGCCTGGAGGACCCCTCGTTGAAAAATGCTGCGCACAGTCTGTGGGTGATTTCCGAGAAGCTTCATCCTTATGTTGTAAGCCCTCTCTGAAGGTTCAATTGCCTCTTTATATTTCTCTTGAAACATGAGTGCATTAGCAAGATTTCTTAAGAAGTGTGCCTCATCCCAGTAACCTGAAAGTTTAAGGTCCTCCAGGAGACTCAGTGCACCTCTGTAACATTGAACTGCCTTTTCATAATCTTCAAGGCCTTCATATGCAGTTCCAATCTGATTCTTGTACATTGGCATGTCAAAGTGGTTCTCAGATGCTAATTTCTCTTGCATCTTGTAGGCTTTTTCATAGAACTCAAGTGCTTTTCTAGGCTGGTCGAGAGCAAAAAAACTGTTTCCAATGGCATTGTAGCACCTTGCAAGATCAGTATGCTCCTCAAGCAGTGGTTCAGAGAAAGTTAAGGACAACTCCAGACTTGCCAGTGCCTTTTTATAGTCTCTGTTTCTCCAAAGGATTTCACCTTCAGTGTGCAAGTAAAGCCCCTTGGTGAGCATAAAGGATTCTCCAGTTTGATCTTCGACTTTCTCCAATGAATTCAGGGCTTCCCTCAATGTTTCAAATCCTTTCTCTGTTCCATCAATATCTGAAACTTGCCTGGCTTCCCAGGACTTCAACTGCGCTCGGCAAAGGGAACCTATACCAAGATGGAGAATCAAAACTAATAAACAAATATCACTGCTGATGAAATGTACTTAGTATCTACAAATAACAAAGTGTAAATTATCACAAGTCATATCGTTTTGTGTTTTCAATAACAGTTCACCAAATAGTGATTTAAAGAGTTCATGTTTTAAGTTTTTGTAAGTTTGTTTGTTTGTTTTTCTTTTTTATTATTTTTTTTAAAAGTCCCTCCTGAGTAATTTCTCTCCAGTTTACCTGTGGAATCAAATAAGTGATGGTAATAGGACTTCAGGGAGAAGGTGGGTCAACAATTTCAGCTTGGCTGATTGCACAGTGCAGGGCTGGCTTAAAAATTATTGGCAAGATTGCCCCTGCACTACACATCAAAAAATTCTAATTGACTGTATCAACAGCAAAGTACATGTACCAAAAAACTCAGAGACATGAAATATTGACAGATGCAATGACAGAGCCACCTTTTTCAATTTATCAGCCTTAAGCTCATCAGTGGTCCAATAGGCTAATTTTAAAACAGAACCTGCTCACTAAAGATTTTCCTTAGGTTTGATTGGCAAGTTATAAGTAAGGTAGACACTCAAATTTCATTGACTGGTAGCATTAAGCACCAAATTTGAGTTGGTTGTTCCAGATAGGTCAAGTCTGGTGGCATGTTTGTGCTCAGTAAGTAATCCAAAAGTGGCTCTGTCAAATTGTAATTACATGCATGTAAGCCTCTTCCACTGTTCCAATCACCAAACTGCAATAACAGTTTAAATGGCCATTAATCTCATTATATCAACTGCCATGGATGGCAGAAAAGCCAAGAGGTTAATATCTAACAAACTGAATGCTATGTCTAAACTTAGGAGAGTGGGATTTAATGATGGACAGGAGTGCTGATGATGGGATTCAGACAAAAGCAAATAATTGTATATGGGAAGGTGTCTATATAACAGGGATGCCCAGGAGAGGATAACACTTGTACTCTCTCAAGTTACAAAAGAGATAATAACTTCATACTAACTGAGCGTAAGGGCCATATTGGGATATATTGGCCAGCATTGGCACTACAGACTGAGCACAGCTCCTTCCATACCAAAATGACAGGGACCAATGTCCACCAGTATGGCTCAAGCAAGCAAGGTCAGTAAGAAGTTTATTATAGAGAACTTGAACCAAAATTTTTTATTTTGAATTTGATGCCTTTGCAATCAAAAAGACATGGCTCATAACTGTAACTGTAAAAATGATCCATATGGCAAAATCCTGACCAATTAAGATGCAATCAGAATGCTCAAATTTACCTCAGGACTATCTTACCATATAATAAACTAACTCTTCTAATGAGTTTAAACTACATGTGAGCTACTTCAGAGAAAGATCTTAAATGCCTGCTCAGACAAAGGTAACTGACTAAATATGAGTTTTGAACAATTTTGATGTAACATGAAAAATTTAAGTGCCTCTCACCTGTTTTTCCATCATCTTCACACATCTCAGCCCAGGAATGAAACACCTTGATAAGTTGATTATCAGTCAGCATTGCAATGAAAAGAGATGCAATTAAAGCATTCTCATGGAATTCACCTGGAACAATGAAATACTCTGGTTGTAAGGAGATCTCAA